CTTGGTATGCATTATTTTTTATTGAAATTTTGACACTTTGGGTATTATGTTATGAAACTGTGGGTTGTATTTAAGCCTTCTGTTCCAGCTGGATTTTTCTGACATGCTCTAGCAAGGGAATTGGAGATGTTGCCTCAGCACTGCCAGATGGAAGTAGAAGTCCAGGTTCCCCACTCAGCCCCTCATGACACCTGAGGGTGAAGGAGCTCCTTGTTACTGTGATGTAGAGATGGGTGTTCTGACACCCCATTAGGTGTCCACCGATACCTTCCTGGATGGAAGGAATAGGAATGCCTCGTTACTGCTCCCCATGTCGCTTCCACTGACACCGTAGTGCTGGGTGGTGGCAAAAGTCATGAGTCTCTATTAGACCTCTTCTGACACCACTTCAGGTGGGAAAGGTAGGGGTATCTTGTTACTAACAGGTGGCAGTGGAAGTCCAGGATCCCCCTGTGTTCTCCACTGATGCTGTTGTGGGGATATGATCTCATCACCACCTAGCAGTGATGAAAGTCCCAGTCCCGTACTTGGTGTTCTCTGATGACACCTCAGCTTAGGGGTTGGGGTGCCCTCTTGTAGCCTGGTGAGGGTGGAAGTCTGGGCTCCTGTGCAGCCTTTGTTGGTGGAGGTGGGAGTAAGGCCACATTACCCTGGTCTCCTTCTGTGGTATTTGGCTGGAGTAGAGCAGTTATTACCTAAAGCTTTCTATTTTTTCTAGGCTGCATTTTCCCTCATCCTTAAGCCAGAGAGGACTTTGTTTTTTGTTGTTTGGTTGGTTGGTTGGTTGGTTTTGGTTTGCATTCATTGGTATTTCCAAGTTCTGTAGCCCCACTCATCCCCATGTTCTTTGGGTACCAAGGTCCCTAGCAGGTCTGCCTTCTGTCTGTCTTTCAGAGTCTTCTGTATTTGGTTTATATGTAATGTCCCAGTTGTACTCAGCAGGAGCAGTATGGAAAAGTCTGTCTACTTCATCTCTTTGGAAGCAAAAACGTATCCTGACTTTAATACCATCAATTAGTTTGCCTGCTTTTGTAACTCTGTATAAATGGAATCATACAGTGTGTGCTCTTTTGCTTCTTTCTTTTCTCAGTCCATATTATGTTTGTGACATTCATCCTGGTCATTGCATGAAGTTGTAGTTTGTTCATTTTACTGCTATCTAGTATTTCGTTATGTGAATATAACATACTTTGTGTATTCTGCTGTAGACAGGTTGTTCCCAGTTTTGAGCCATTAAAATTGTTCTGCCCTGAACATTTTTTGTAGATGTCATTTGGTGAATAGATTACTACTCAATACATATCTAGGACTTGTCGTCAGGTATACATTCAGGTTTGATAGCTATTCCCAAACTGTTACCAAAGTAGCGTATCCATTTACATTCCTACCAGCAATCTATGAGCATTCCGGTTGCTTTGCATCCTCACCAACACTTGGTGTTATCTTTCCTATTTATTTTAGCCATTTTGGGAATATGTTGTATTGTTGCATTTATTAATAAGTCTTTTTCTATCCTGAAATCTTTAAGATATTTTTCTGTTTTATTCTAAAATTATGTTACTTTATCTTTTACTTTTATTTATGTTGTATTTAAAAAATTTTTAAAGTAAACTCTACTCAAACATGAGGCTCAAACTCACAACTCTGAGATCAAGAGTCACATGCTCTACTAACTGAGCCAGGCAGGTGCCCCTGTCTTTTATTTTTAGATATACAGTCCATATGGAATTGATTTTTGTATATGAAGTGAAGTGGAAGATCTGTTTGTTGTTGTTCTTTTTCTTTTCTCTAAGAAGTTGCCTCAAATTTTTCTTTTATATCATCCCTTACTTTGACATTTATGCTCTTTTTTCCACAAAAACATTACCATAACTTTTTCATTCAGGCATTCCTTTCATTCCCCTCCTCTTCCTTCTTTAAAAATATGTATTATTTTTGTTTCATAGTTGCATTTCTTTTCCTATTGCTGAAGATAACACATTTAGAAGTATTTTCTTCCCCACATAGCTCCTATTTTCCCCATGTGTTTTTTTTTGTTTTTTGTTTTTGTTTTTTGCTGTTTGTTTTGGTTCTTTTTTTTTTATTTATTTAAGTTTATTTTAAGAAAGAGCATGAGTGGGAGACGGGCAGAAAAAAGGGGACAGAGAATCCCAGGCAGGCTCTCCATTGACACCAGAGAACCCAATGTGGGGCTTGAATTCACAAACTGTGAGGTCATAACCTGAGCCAAAGTCGGATGCCCAACCAACTAAGCCACCAGGCATCCCCATGGTTCTATCTTTCATGTAAGATACTTTCCTCAAATGTCTTATAATTCTGGTGACTGATCATATCTAGTGACAGGGCTTGATGACGCTGGGCTTCCATGTGAGGGATTTGGTGGGATGTTTAGTTCGGGAGGCTTCAGTATCAGCATCTCCAGAGAAGAACCTTCCAGTTTCCTGCCTGGAGGATGAAAGCCTTGCCAGCTTCTGGGAACCTTGTGAGAGAAATGGGATGGAGATTTGGGACAGATCTAAGGCTTGGAATCAGCATGTATATGTTCACTTCCTGCCCTGTTTTCAGTATGGTATCCCTACTCTCAACTCCAGCTATTTCTGTATGACAGCAGAACTTGTTTTATCCTCTCCAGAGGAAAAAACCTCTACTTGTTTGGTGAGCCACGTGGAGTGGAGAAGGGGATTGGGTGTCCTGAGTTGGTGTTCAGATTTTCAGTCAACTCCATTGACAGCAGCCTCCACTCCCTGCCTCTATACACACACACACACACACACACACACACACACACACACACACACACTTCCTTGCACTTCAACCTGATATGGCCAACCTATGAGCTTTTGAAGGATTCTGAGTAATAAATTATTCCACTGTCAGCCAAGGTTTCTGTTTTCTTAGGTCTACTAAGTTATTTACCAATTGTCTAACTATATTCTGGCTTCCAGAATCTTATTTTATTTTTCCATTTACAGGCGCTTTAATTCTCCTAGCTTGGACTATTGGATTTTGACTTTAAAAATATGTGTGTGTGTGTGTGTGTGTGTGTGTGTGTGTGTGTGTGGTCATTTTAGTGGGGTTTAGGGATGGAGGCCAGATGTACACAACCTGCCATCTTCACCCTGAAGTGCCATGAAACTTTATACACTTGAAAAAGAACAAATATTTCTTTAAAGTTTGAGCTCAGAAATGAAAATAATTTAGAAAATAAGTCCAAAGGAGAATTATTGTTATTTTCAGGTGATGAGATGGAATTGGAACCGACTGGGATGGGTGAAAGCACTAATGATGAAAAAATAAATAAATACAGAACATTGAGGAAAGTCTTTCAGCTGGACAGCAAAAGATTGGATTTTGCTTTTCCTTCAAGTTTTGTGGGGAAAAAAGGTCCCTTTCACTCCAGGAAAAACATGAGTTAGGAACTAGTGGGGGCGACACCACATTGTGAATGCACTAAATTCCACTGAATCATTTACATAAAATGGTTAATTTTATGTTATGTGAATTTTACCTCAAATAAAAAATTTTCTTAAATCTAAAAATAAGAAACACACAAACATTTTCAAAACTTAACAGCTATTTTGACACCTGGGGGGTAAAAGATAAGTTTTGGGGGTAAAAGATAAGTTGACTTACTGCACGGGTCTCATTAAGTTGTGTTTCTATTGTCTGCCTAGGAGCTATTTTTAAAATGTTTACAGGCATGATTCTGGAAGATTTTCAGAAAGTTAGTCTTCGTTTTGGGAAAAGGGAAAGCAAGATCTATGCCAAGGGGTAGCAAAATGAAGTTATTTCTCTCTGGCTTAGAAGGTGAAAGGAAGTAATACGTATTTAATGTATATGCCTCCTACCTCAGAATATATTCATTGCAGCATGACAGACCTTGATGCAAGCAGGACCTTTTGGCTCTTTAATTCTCTGTATAATGGAAGAAAGGGAAATTCTGGTGTAATGTGGCACAGTTCCTATAAATTTATACTATTGATATATTCTTATCTTTTGTATGAAACACCCTGTCTTATAAAAAGGTTTGATAAAAAGGCAACATTTTATTGCCCAGAATGTAACATTTGGCAGTTTATTGTGGTTTTTAGAGCACACAGCTTAAAGCCATAATATTAGGGTTCAAATCCTCACTCTACCACTTACACAAGTTGTTTAAGCTCACCATGCCTCATTTTTCTCATCTGCAACATGGAGAAGATAGTAGGATTTTGTGATCAGTATGAATTAATACATTTAAAGATCTTTATGTGTTGCCTGGCATAGAGTAAGTGCTCACTCAATAAATGGTATCTGCCATTTTTTTCCTGACATTTTTTAAAACTATAATCCATAAAAGCACAGCTGGAGAAACATATGCAGTATAAACAGTGTGAGGACTGTCTCCTTACCAGGGTATCTGTCATGGCTGTAGTGACCCAACTCCAATTGCAAATGTGCATTTTGCTCCCTCATTCTCATTACATTTGTGGTTGTGGTTAAAAGCTTATTTCTACTTTTCTATAGAAACTTAATGGTTGTAGCTACCTTTATTTCCTAAAAATTCTGTACCTCATAGTGCATTGGATTTGTTTGAAAAGTAAAACCAATAAACTATAAGGACTATTTATTTTCAATTCTCTATATTTGGTTTAGATATAATCCCTGTCATTTGTACATTTTCACTAGACATCGATGAAAAAGATTTGAGATTGAACCGGAGCCATAAACTTGCCATTAGAATGTGTAATTTGTCAGTCAGTGGCCACAAAGAGTATTTGATGTTTTGAAATCTATTTTTCTTTTTTAGTATTGTATGACTGCAAGTGACAAATGGGAGAATTCTCTCTCATAATTATTATTTTTAGTAGTTTGAAACTCCTCAGTTTCTTGCAAGATGAAGCTCAGTGCTTAAATGTTATTTTCATACTAAGCCATCTTTTAAATTTTACTTTACAGATCAACAATAAAAATTTTGAAAGTCACAAAACTTTAAAATTTTCTGATGGTGGTGAGAAGCCATGGCGGCAGATGATAAAGTTGCCATCTTAACCGATGATGAAGAGGAACAGAAGAGAAAATACGTGCTTGCTGATCCCTTTAATGGTATTTCCAGGGAACCCGAACCACCTTCAAATGAAACACCCACCTCCACAGAAACATCTGCTCTTCCTGAGGAGGAAGTAGACTGGATAGAGAAACATTGTGTTAAAATAAACAATGATCTTCTGATATCCAAGGTCTTCTATTTTTTCTTTTACTCTGCATATGGCTCTCTTTACCCACTTCTGCCTGTGTATTATAAACAGCTGGGAATGTCACCAAGCCAGAGTGGATTGCTAGTAGGTATCCGATACTTCATTGAATTCTGCAGTGCCCCATTTTGGGGTGTAGTTGCAGATCGCTTTAGAAAAGGCAAAATTGTCCTCCTCTTTTCTCTTTTGTGTTGGGTTTTATTCAACTTGGGCATTGGATTTGTCAAACCTGCTACCTTGAGATGTGTACCAAAGATTCCCCCAACGTCTCGTCCCACCAACTCAAGTCATCTGTTAACTATCCCGCCAACCAATTCTTCCATTACCACATCACCAAGAATGCGTGAGAAAAGGAGCCTGCTCCCTTCCACTTGGCCAGTGATATTAGAAACAGAGCCCAATGTCACCGAAACTGTCATCTTTTCGACAGCTCCAAACAAGACCAGTGCACCCACCCCACAACCTCAGACAGATGAAATTACTGACCATATTATGGACTTGACCTTGAATCCGAGCACGGCAACCCCTGCCTTCCTGGGAAATGTAACCAGAGAGACGACCACCGCTATTGTCACTACCACCAAATCTTTACCTTCTGATCAAGTCACTCTTGTTTACGATCAACAAGAAGTTGAGGCTATATTCTTGGTGATCTTGGTGGTTGTCATAATAGGAGAATTTTTCAGTGCCTCTTCTGTCACCATTGTGGACACTGTAACACTTCAGTATCTGGGAAAACACAGAGATCGCTATGGATTGCAGCGTATGTGGGGCTCCCTGGGCTGGGGCCTGGCGATGCTGTCTGTGGGCATTGGTATTGACTACACACACATAGAAGTGATCATTGATGGAAAGGGGTGTAAACCCCCTGAATATCGGAACTACCAGATCGTCTTTATTGTCTTTGGGGTTCTCATGACCATGGCTTTGATTGTTGCCACTCAGTTCCGGTTCCGCTACAACCATTTCAAAAACAATGAAAATAAAGGAAAAGAGGTGGAGATCCCTCAAGTGGAGAGAAACAGCTCTACAGAGTCCTCTGAGGAGACACCAACCACCACGAGCCACTCACAAGCCTTCAACTTTTGGGACTTAATCAGACTGCTTTGCAGTGTGCAGTATGGCTCGGTGTTGTTCGTGGCATGGTTTATGGGTTTTGGATATGGCTTTGTGTTCACCTTTCTCTACTGGCATTTGGAAGACTTGAATGGAACTACAACTCTCTTTGGGGTCTGTTCAGTCCTGAGTCATGTGTCTGAGCTGACAGCTTATTTTTTTAGTCACAAGCTTATTGAATTGATTGGCCATATCAGGTAAGAACATGCTTATTATTGCTGCCCCTCAACAACTGAACCTCATCTTTTTAGTTCACAGCTCTTTTTAGCACATAGAAAGAAACTGTAATTTGTGCTGGGGTAAGGCTGGAACGGGAATGAGACTTCCTGTTGCTCTTCCTCCTCAAAATACAAACAAAAGGAAGGAAGTAATGAACCTACTTGGATTATCTAAAACAAACAAAAAATGCTGCTTCCTCTTTGTATGCCAGGAGGCTCTTGGAATAAATGTTTTCAGGTATAGGAGCACCAATGTAGTGAACTAGATTATGCTGTGGACCTCGAAGGGTCCACTTGTCCCAGGCATTTGTGAAGGAGGGTTTAAGTGGATAAAGTGGTTTAGGTTTTTTCAGCCTTCAGTTATTCTCAGCCCTTGTTATATATGGTGTTTTATGAAGATGTCCAAATTATTTAATTAGGCTGTGATATGACCCATCATAATCCCTAATCCATGATACTACATAGAGAAGATTCTTACATGATTTTTTCCCCTGATTATTACATCAGTCTCTGCATTTTTGTCTGCCCTGAAGACATGGGACATTTAAAAAACTTTCACCTAAATTTCCCGTATGATCTTTTTAGTCAAAAAAAATCTATAAATGCCTGCTGTTTCTTGTGTAATTTTCCTCACCATTAATGTTTGTCTGAAGTTGATCGAACAGTACCTTGCTCTTTGTAAGTCTTTCTTCTCTGTTGTTGGTCTAAAATGTACAGCTAGCTACACTTAAGCCTTCTTAAGTAGAGAAGTATGGCATGTCTGACCCTAAAATTTGAAGTTGCTATGACTGAAAGAGAGCAACCACGCGTGTTTGTGTGTGTCTGTGTGGTAATCATTAAATCTATTTCTGTGAGAAATTAAAAAGGAGAAATAGGCACTGACAAGATTTGAGAAACAGTGACCTTTTTTCCTTTCCTTTATCTTCTATTAACTGAAGATTTCAATTAGTTAATAACTTAAGTAATTTGATTTAGTTTAAAGTTTCAACCTAGAATCATTCTTTTCCCCCAAACAATTGTGAATATTTTTTTCTTGTTTGGTTGCTTTTGCTTTGGGAGGCTGTGTCCTACTGCTTTTGTTTCTCAAATCTTTGACCCCTTTGTTGTCACTAAACAAAGCCAAGCATTGTATAGATGGTTCCGAGACCCACAGGGTCCCCAAGGCATATTCAGTGGGTCCAATTTGAAAACAGTCTTAGAATATTAAGGACTTGGAAGGTCCTTTAACTTTGTCCAGGTAGTATTTACATTCTCTGAGCTGTGTGGATTCACCATGATGCATGGGATACTTGTCTTCAGCAGGAGTGTATGAGTGACTTCTCTCCTCAACTAATAGCATCTTTAAAATCACAGTCATTTGGACTGGGCACGTGTGGGCAGGAGGCGAGGCCACCCAGGCCCCCTGGGGTGGTGGGGGGGGTGGGTGAAATATTAAAAAAAAAATAACAGGCATTTATTCCCAGAGAGGTACTCAGGTCTTATGAGTGAGTGGTGTTCCTAGATGTCATGGTTTAATCAATTAATTTGAATATTGAATATTAATTTGAATAATTGAATACTGACTCAGTACAGAGTATGAGTGTGCATTCTGTTTTCAAAAAAATTGTTAGGCTCTTCTCACATGCTAAGAAAAGAAGTTTCTTCTCTGTCTCTGCCTTTTTTCTGAGGTGTATATTTTCATGATAAAATCCTGGAAGATTTACTACTAATTTTGGTAATTACATGAAACTTACCCTTGTATTTCCTGAGCATTTTTAGTTGTGTTTCCTTTTTTCCTGAGCATTACTAGTTACTTATTACTTAAAAACCTACAGCTCAGTTAACCTTAATTTTCTGGCTTTTATGTACAGAAAACATCTTCCTTTTCTTATTTAATGATGTGATGGAAGAAAAAGGCTCTTGTGGTCACTTTGCTGCACCCAAGAGTCTACAGGGATTCCATTCATTAATTTGTGGTCATTTACCTCTTTTGGGTTTTGATTCTGTCCATTAAATGTATTATCTTCACTACTTTTGTAAGATCCTAATAGCTGTAGCGAGATTATGCTCACTGTTCAAGTAGAACAGATATGTTTCTTTTGATGAGAATTTGGGGAGCCCAGTCAGGTGGTGGTGATTGAGATTTGGGGGCTTGAAAGTATGATGATGACGGTTGTAAACATTTCACTGGAATTCTGTCATACAGTCAATAGTTGACAAAGATTATGTTTCTGTGAATTGATAGTCTTTTATGTATTCCTTATAGGATCATAAGGAGGGATCTGCCTGTGGCTCTTATGTATGCACATATGTTTTTTTTTTCAATACTCTGACTGTCTTATTGTTTGTTTTTAGGAGTCTGAACCACCATAAAGATGGTAAATACCCTAATGTAGCCCAAAGTGGGTTTTCCACAACTTTTTAATATAGATTCATAATGAAGAAAAATATCATACCAGAAAACAGTTTTTTTAAAAAAATTTTTTTTTTCAACGTTTATTTATTTTTGGGACAGAGCGAGACAGAGCATGAACGGGGGAGGGGCAGAGAGAGAGGGAGACACAGAATCGGAAACAGGCTCCAGGCTCTGAGCCATCAGCCCAGAGCCTGACGCGGGGCTCGAACCCACGGACTGCAAGATCGTGACCTGGCTGAAGTCGGACGCCTAACCGACTGCGCCACCCAGGCGCCCCAGAAAACAGTTTTTTAAAATAGCATGTCCAGGGGCACCTGAGTGGCTCAGTCTGTTAAGTGCCCAACTTCAGCTCAGGTCATGATCTCACAGTTTGTGAGTTCAAGCCCTGCTTCAGGTTCTGTACTGACAGCTCAGAGCCTGGAGCCTGCTTCAGATTCTGTGTCTCCCTCTCTTTCTGTCCCTTCTCCACTCTCACTCTGTCTGTCTCTCTCTTTTTCAAAAATAAATAAACATTAGAAGAAAAATATTGTAAAAAATAATAAAATAACATGTCCACTTTTGAAGTACTTAGCATTTTAACAGTTACACAGTTTGGGTCCAGTTTTTCAAGGGATAAACTAACAGTCTAACCCCCCCCCCCCACACACACACACACAGAAGTGATTTCTGGTTTTGATCTTGGATTTTGTTCTTCTCTGGAAAGTAGCTTTCTCAGGCAAATAGGATAATGCTGACTATTGCCACTAAAAGAGGTAAATTTCTTTTGATGTGAAATCACATGACTTTGGAATTTACAGCAAGTATATTTCTAGGCTAATTTATGTAAAGGTGATAACTAGACTTCTTTAACTAGAAATATAAATGTATCTTAAGGATACATTTATGCTGCTGAATGTTTTAACAGCTGTGAGTAGAGCTGAAATCAAAATACACTGCAATTAATCATTTGTAAATTTGTAAATCATTGCTATCCAGTATTAGGCCATCACCTATGTTATTTGATTTAAATTTGTTTAAATTTTAAGGGATACAAAAATCTACTCAATCAACTCTGACTTTGCCCTAAAATCTTTGCCTTTGCACTCAAGGTCAGTTTTGCCATTCAAATGTCATTTGGAAGGGGTTATAGATTAACCATGCTTAGCCATTAATTACTACTTAATAGTAGCTAAGTATCCCAACGAGCTAGCCAGTCACTTGGGAAAGAAGCAAACAGCAAGAGGAAGAAAGCACAGGTTTTCCTGGTGCAAGAAGACCAAGAACAGAGAAGAAGACGCTGGGCTACCAGCTGAGGACACGTGAGACATAGGATGTGAAGTTTTGTCATTGGAGGAACAGCAATCAGCATTATAAGAAGGAGGAAACACTACTGTCGGGGTGCTCAGGGAAGGCTTCATAGAGGAGGTGGAATTCGAGCCTGCCATTGAAGGATTTAGAGAAGATCGTGTTTATTTACTTAAGTTTCGCTGCTTCTCCTCTCCCTTGTTCTACCATTATATTAGCTAAGTCTAGATCTGCTGGCTGTCAGATCCTATTCTCACCCTCCGTGGCAGGGTGCTGATTTCTGCAGGCTGCTTCTCCCAGGACCTGGTCTCCTGGCTTCTGCGTGGGTTCAGCCCATCCAGTAGTTCTCAACCAGCAGACATAGGAGGAATGCTTTCAGGACTCCTGGTGCTCAGGCTGCACTCAGACCTGTTACTTACGGCTCCCTAGGGTGAACCCAGGCATTCACACTTCCTCAAGTTCCCTGGTTGGTTTCGGTTGATTTCATCGTGTGACCAAGATTGCTGGCCACCAAGCTGGTGAGGCACAAGTGGAGGACTAGAGGGAGGGAGGGAGGAAGGGAAAAAAATCCAGGGCATTTCCTTCTTTTTAGCTCCTACAGTGTCTTCTGTGAGTTTTGGCAACTGTTTTCTTCAGTCCTTTCAGGTGGATCTTTCCCAGCTTTGAGGACTTTCCTCAGAGGCAGATCAGTGCTCAGCCACTGTGGCTCTCCGCACAGCCCTCTTCAGTCTCTACCCTGCCCCCCAGACTCTCAGTCTTTCTCCTCAGCTCTGAAGACCCCTGTGCCCTGTCAGGCAGCATCTCTCAGAGCTGCTGTACCTCCCTGTGGCCCGCCACCATGGGTGGCCCTGACCCCTGCTAACAAGCCCATTCCCGTCAGCCTTTCACCATGGGCCTGCCAGAGGCTGCCTGAGTTCCCTCACCAGACTGGGCTTCTCAACACTTCCTTGCAGTTCTTGGTGAAAATGCAAAAAGAGTGTGGACCTTAAGCAACTTCTTTCTCTTCTCATTTTTTTAATGTTCATATGTTTTTGAGAGAGAGAGAGAGAGACCGACCGACCAACGCCACGAGGGAGGGGCAGAGAGAGGGAGACTGAGAATTCGAAGCAGGTTCCCGAATGTCAGTGCAGTGTCTGACGTGGGGCGCAAACGCAGCCACCCAGGTGCCCCTGTCTTCTCATTTTTTAAAGGAGACTTAATTTTCACAGTAAATTTGTAGTTAAGTAATACATTCTCTACAGGAGCAAGTATTTCTCTTATTTAAAGATCAAAACCCTGCATATTTGTTCAGTTTAGCAGA